ATTTGCTGAGAACCTACCATTCACTCTGATATGACTCTGTATTGGAGGCTTAGTGAGGACCCAGTTTTTGGGTATTGCTATACTAGGTGGTTTGCAGAGCCACAAAGGAGATAGAAGATACACACCAGTTTCAAATGTAGTGTAGTATAGTGCACTGCATAAGCTGTCCCGCTCAGGAGCCAGACCACTGAGTCTGGATGTCAACTCCACCCTTTTACAGTTGTGTAACTTGGGCAAACTACTTTGCTAAATCTGGGCCTCATTTTCCTCATCTATAGTGATAGATGAGTACTGAGCGAGTTCATACAAGGAAAGCCCTTAGAATCTAAATAATCAGTAAACATTAGTTAGGGTGACAGTTAATTTTATGTGTCCACTTAGCTTGTCCACTTGTTTGGTCAACACCAGCCCAGATGTAGCTATAAAGATTTTTTTTTTTAGATATGATTAACATTGAAATCCATAGGCTTTGAATAAAGCCTTCATAATGTGGTGGACCTCATTTAATCAAAGAAAGATTGAGGTTTCCCAAAAAGGAAGGAATTCTCCTCAAAACTGATTTCAGACTCAACACAGCAAGATCAACTCTTACTAGAGTCTCCAGCCTGCTGGGGTGTTTTACAAATTTCACACTTAAAAGCTCCCAAAATTACATGAGCCAATTCCTGAAAATAAATCTTCTGTAAATTCTCTCTCTCCCTCCCTCTCTCTCCCTCTCTCTCTCTCTCTCTCTCTCTCTCCCCACACACACAGAGAGACGCAGAAACACACAGTCTCCTATTGGTTCTGTTTTTCTGGAGAATCATGACTCATACAAGTAGTGTTATGTTAAGGAGATTAAAAGTATAATATCATTACCAATTTGACATTGACTCTTCATGATCAAATTAGTTGAGTGTTTCTAGCACCTCTAAATATTAAAAGGAAACCTTTCCCCAAACAGCAGAAGCAAAAAGATAAAGGGAACAGTCCTTCATTAACTTGCTTCAAAGTAGACTTTTATGATTGAAATAATAGATTTTAATGCTGAAATTCTACCTTCCCCCAAACTCAGCATTTTTCTGAAGAGATGGATCTGTCAGGCTAGTTTAGGCGAGAGCCTAGAGGGGAGTTTTATGTACATGTGATAACAAGGCAAATACTTGATAATAAAAATCTCAAACTACAGATTTTTCCTCCCCGACCCACTGAAGGTCCTCACTGATCTCTGGGAGGGTCATTTGGCTCCACATCACCCTCTCCATCTGCTCTTGGCCTGTCCCTTCTCAGAAAGAGCCCTGAATTCAGGCATTAGTCCTAGCCATGGACACTGCACAGGTCTCAGAGGGGAAACCCATCAAGGCCCAGAGAGGGGGCCTAGAAATTTATCTATGGCCACACCCTTCTCCTTGCTGCCTTTTCTGTTTCTGAACACAAAATTGTATTTTCCTGCTAGAGAAACTGCATATTTTTTCACCACGATTTAACTATGACATTAAGTAAGATTATAAGAGAACCAAGGCAAGAAAGGTTCTTTCTCAACAAACATGAACATCATTTGTAAGTGGCAGGATTAGCAAATTAAATGTACCTGATATGCTTGAAATACTAACTACCATTTCATGTGTGTTTGCTATATACCAGCTACTCTTCTAAGTAATGTACATGTATCAACTTGTTTAATGCTCATAACAACACTAGGGCTTCAGTCATTTGAAAGAGGAAAAAATCTAAGGCACAAGGATGTTGCACAAATTTTTCAAGGTAACCCTACGTGGAAAGGGCAGAATGAGGATTCGAAAAGTTTGTGCTTTTGACCATTATCCCTCACTACCCTTTGGAAATCTATAAGGAGTTCCAAAGGGCTATTTTAAAAAGTTGTGTCAGTCATGCATCAATCTTTTTTATTAGTAACCTGTATGTTATAATACTAAAATTCATGCTAAATTTTTACATTTTGACTCTGATCCCTCTCTCGAGCTCTAAGTAATTACACAGCAGATTGCTTACTTAGTAATGTGTCTATCCATTCTGCTTTTAGCACCTGAGAAGCTCTGAACAGTCAATATTAGCATATATAATCACTAAGTAAAAAATTTACATCCCAGAAGCCTTCTTATTCTCATTATTAACCGTTTCTGAGAATCTGCCATGCTGCCTCTTGGGAACTTGTTTCTTTGTGTATATTCTCTTCTACCACCCTTAATGTCACCTTTACTTTTGTTTTTGAAGTATATCTCTTTTTGTGTATCTCTTCAACTTATTTCTGGTTCTCAGGATCATCTCAGGCCAAGCACAGGTATCAGTCACGTACGCACGTGGAGTAAACCCACGGGCTAGCTGCTGTTTTCACACGTATTCCCCTCGGCAGCAGCACTTCTCTGCCACATGATTCTGATTCCCAAGGTAGAGAATCTCAGTGGCCTACAACAGAGAGTGAGAAGAGGCAGTCACAGAGTGGAACATCTCACCACTGCCTGGAGCTAGAAAAACATGATAAGGATGTTAAAGCCCATCTAAAAAAGCCAATTGTCCTCAACTGATTTGGTTCACAGAGAGAAGTACTATAGGATAATGGATAGATTCAAAACTGTGTAGTCTGGAATCCCAGAACTACCGTTTACCAAATATGACCCTGGGCAAGCAACTTGACCTTTCTATGTCTCTGTCACTTGCACATAGAGATGGCATATAAAACCATGAGCTCAACACTTGGTAAAAAAATATTACTCGCAACTGTCAACTATTATTATTTAGAGGCATAAAGCTTTAGACAGGGTGACTTTTAGAAGTCAATCCCTAACTTTTATTAATAGCAAAACTGAGGCAGAGAAGCAAAGTATTTCGTCTGAGAGTACACAGCAGATTTTACTACTCAACAGGCCAGAACATTTGCCATACCACTGTCAGTATTTCTAGAACTTCCTTGGTCACAGTGCTGCCTTTATTGTTTTATGCTTCATATATGAAAGGCTGGCATTGGTAAGTTGTTTTTCCTCTTGAGTTGATGGATTTATGCTGAGCCATTATCTCACCTGTCCTCTGCACTAAGGCTAAAGACAGAAAACTAGACAGGATTAAGGATGCCAGAGTTGGGCATGGATCACAGTGAAGCAAACAGCATTCACCTAAGCCTCACAAACATGGTTGTGGGCAGTGAAGTAATCAGCCTCATGCAGACCTGCAATAAACACACAAAAATACGGAGCCCTGGTGACCACAGAATTCATCCCTCCAATTCCCTGCCAATTGTAGGTTGATAGAAACAGGTCCTGTGCCTAAGCATATTCATTAAACTCTAATCATGACTTTTAAAAATAGTTTTAATTCTCAAATGACTATAACAACAACAACAAAACAGATAAGATTGTATGATTCACATGGTACTGGTCTGCTCCTACAGCAAATTCTAAGTACCTTCTCTGTCCTGGGGAATAAAAAAATCAAGCGTGACCAATACCTCTTCATCCATACTTACAGACACCCACAGAACATCCATCTGGACCTAGAAAGTAATAAATATTCCTGCAGGCCCAGACCCTGAGAATATATCCACACGGTCTTGCCCTACAGAGGTTACTTAGAGGATTTCTGGGGTCTGGGAAAGCTGGTAGAAGACAGACAACTCCTGCTTATCTTAATCTTGCTTACTCCAAATTAAATGTCTTCATTCAGCTCTTATATTATCCTCTTCATTGACGGTCCCCAAATCCCTGCAAGGACCAGTCCTTTTAGCCTCAAACCTTCACAAAAGGTAACTGGAAACAGCTAGGTGGGGGTGAGGGTGTTATGGCTTTTGTCATTCCTCCCATTCCCACTCTGAACGTTTTTTCTCCTTAGTGTTTAATATGTTTATTTCTGCCTCTAAGGTGCTTCTGTTTTTACTAAAACCATAGAAATTTCTCCTTCCACCACACTCACAGCACACACAAAAAGCAGTTGGGAAAACATATTAATTATTTTCAACCACAACAGCACTTCTGAGTAACTACAAAGAAGGAAGCTTTACAGACCCATAGAAGGAAACTAAAGTCTGAACTAGACCAAAACCTGAGGGGTGGCATGTCCAGTTACTGCAAATCCAGAGCCAGAAGCCAGACTTCCTAAATCCAAGCCCAGTCTTTTATCTATTGGGGAAACACTGTTTAGATGCCCTCACCTTTGATGAATAACATCTGATAATTCATTAATGAAACACCCTTGAGAGGGAATGTGGCACTGGCCAGGTCTCTCTGATAAGGAATTACTGCTGTGAGACAAACTGCTGTCGGGCAGAGAGGATGGTGTGTGTGTGTGTGTGTGTGTGTGTGTGTGTGTGTGTGTGTGTGTGTGTAGGGAGGTGGGGGACAGATAAGCTCTACTTTCGTAAGGAGGGTAATAGCTCAAAGAACATATATTTTGGTCAACTCAAAATGTAATGGAAAGCAGAATGGGCGGGAAGCAAGCACTGCATATGCTACTATTAAATTGCTGTGTGACTTTAGAAAAATCATGTTGCTCTCTGGGTCTCAGTTTCTCTGATCTGTCAAGTGTAAAGATTCCGGAGGGTCCTTGCATAGACACGGAAAGACAATGAAGAGAAGAAGGGAGCAGAGGGAGGAAAGGAAAAGAGGGAGGAAGTTAAACAGCGGACTTGTGTGAGGGAGAGGAGGAGGGGCGGAGGTGGATAGAAAAAGTCTTTCAATAAGAAACTGAAAAAAGGTTACAAATAATACCGAGCTCTCCAGGGCTTCATTTTTTATCTTTATGTATTTTTAGTGTTCACACTTATTGTATATAGTAATCTTGGGGTAACCGTGGAGCGAATGAATGAAAAGGCTGAGAAACCTGACAAGAGTGAGGGGAGAGATGGGAGAAAGTGAGCACGGACGCACTCTCGTGTCTGGTCCTCTTTGGGTTGTCCCCACAGCGTGGGCAGTAAGTTCCCTCCAGGGCTCGCCCTGCCGCCCTCCCGGGGAGCCGTCCCGAAACCGCCAGGGGGCGCTGCGTGGCTGCCGGGGCTGGGGCCCGGGGCGGAGCCGCTTTAAAACGCGGCGCCCAGAGGTTTGGCGTCTCAGTTCCTGAGCCGGGGAGCAACGGCCGCTTCTAGCATCCCGACTCCAGAGCCAACGGGACCCAGACCCAGACCCGAACTCGGACCCAGAGCCTCTTCAGCGGCGGCGCAGCGAGCAGGGCTTCCCGCCGTAAGTTCCGCGGTGAGGCCCCGCCGCCGTTGGTTGCCCCAGGCGCGCACCTGCAAACTCTCCGCTCTCTGCACCTGCCAGCCCTGAGCCAGCGCGGACGCCGGAGCGAGCCATGGCCAACGCGGGACTGCAGTTGTTGGGCTTCATTCTAGCCTTCCTGGGCTGGATCGGCACCATCGTCAGCACTGCTCTGCCCCAGTGGAAGATTTACTCCTACGCTGGCGACAACATCGTGACCGCTCAGGCGATCTACGAGGGGCTGTGGATGTCATGCGTGTCTCAGAGCACCGGGCAGATCCAGTGCAAAGTCTTCGACTCCTTGCTGAATCTGAACAGTGAGTGTGCATCGCCCCTCCCCATAGCCACCATCCAGGGGCGCTAACCCTAGTGGCTCCCTTGTGAGCTCATTCTGTTGTGTGATTGTATGGTTATTAGTCTTCAGTTGGTCAAGTCTTCTGATTATGTGCTCTATCGTGAGCAAGTGGAGAGAACCCTGGTTTGGGGGAAAGGGAGACCCAGGCCTAAGCTCTAGTTTTGCCTATAACTCCCTGAGCGACAATTTTCTCCCCTTCTAGGTGTAGTTTCATACTGAATTCCGATGAGGGTAGGTGAAGAGTGACAGAATACACATCAAACTCAATCTTGAGCTCTTAGGCCTCTCCTGGACGTTCTAAGATTCTGCGTAAATTGAAAATTGGTAAGGTTCAGACAAGAAAATGGGACGGCTTGAAAAGTTTGGAGGCTGATAGCTTCTCAAGTGTGCAAAATTAAAAAGAGAATCCCAAAGTATTAGATAAGAACATAAAGTGTAACCATAATGTTTGTACCCTTACAATACCCTGGAATAAAAAAAAAAATCAAAAAAAAAAAGATATTATGTTGGAATAAAGTTATCCATACTATATTTTTAAAAAAAAAAAAGAACACATTTTTAACCTTTACTATTACTTTGCATACTATTACATTCCTGCATGGAATGTCTCACCTTGGTGTTTTTTACTTACTTACACTTGAGGTTGAATCTTTTGATTCTTTAAGTTTCTAAATCCAGTTTGTGCAGAGAAGTAAGTCCCTTCCAACAAGACTCTTAGAAGATGCCTCTTGAGATTTCTCCGAAGCTTTAGCCTTTAAGCCCAAGGACTTCAGAAGAGGCCAATTGTGTAGTGCTATTTTGGAAAGAGACAGTTGGCAGTTGGTTAAAAAAAAAAAAAAAAAAGGAAGACAAGACAGAAAAGTTCTAAACTACCTGCCCAACATAATAAAAGTGAAGGCACTGAAGAAAAATGCAGCAAAATAGTCCGAGCTGATGAAAACAGAGGTCAGCTGGGAGAGGAAGGTGGTGAGAGGGCATGAAGAGGTGGGTCTTCTCCAGGCTTCCATTTCCACAAAGGAATTTCTGTGTAATGGATGTTCAGTGCTCACTTGTCAAGTTGGGAAGGATTATGTAGAAAGAAATATTTCTAAGCATGGTGAGCAGAAGGATAATGGGATGGCTTTTTCTTTTTTTTTTACCTTTTTTAAAGTAAAAGGTTTTGAGTGCCTTGTCAAAAAGTCATTAAATTCCCATTTACTTAGGTAATAATGATTCATGGCTGGAGTATCTTCTTTGAGAAATCACATTAGTTGTCTTGTGTTGCGTGTCTGTTACGATCTTTAAATAACATGAAGAAAAACTTCCTTAGTCTTTGCCTAGATAAACAAGACTGCCCGCCAGTCCCCACTGTATGCTAGGGCTGAGCAGTGTTGGCATTGTTCAAGTTTACTTCACTTGTTTTGTCTACCTCTTAGCGAGGGACAACTTTTAATAGTGCATGTCAAAAACCATATAGTTTAGAGTTATTGAACCTGTTCCAAGTCTGTTTAAACACCTTGAACACCTGTGGCAACTGGTCAATGTGTGTAGTGGTTTTGGGTGTGACATTTCAGATTTCAAAGGTTCCCATATGAGGACTCTTTTACACCAGAACTAATTATAATTTTAGTAATTATGCATGGATTATTGCCCTCCTGAGTTACATTTATACTTATAAAGTAAACAATTGGGAAGTAATCATTGAATTTTCTCATGGAAAGATAAATTTATTTAGTTAACCATGTTGAGGAATTGGCAGATGGAGAAGGTTCTAAGAGCAATTCCAGAGAGTTCTCACTGTTAATTTTATTCTTCTGATCAAAATAGTTCATTTTCAATATCTTGAAATAGGCTTCTTTTAATTTCCCTTAATGACCAAATGAAATCAGCTTGATCTATGATGTAAATACTCAGACAGATCATCCTTTCACATGATAATGTGTTAAAATGTTTTATTTTCATTTATTACTGGTTAATATACTTATCACAGTTTTTAAAACTGTGGTGAAAACAATAAATATCCCCCCACACACTTTAGAGATTTCTTCCTGTTTTTGTGTATGTGTGTGTGTGTTTGTGTGTGTGTGTGTGTGTGTGTTTTAACTCCCGATCAGATTCCACATTTTGTTTTGGTTAAAGCTATAGTTTATCCAAGGTGGGGCTGAGGTTGTTCTCTCAAAACTAACTCCCAGAAGAGGGTCCCTTGACTCACATACTCTCTCTGAACCTGCCAGTGACTCACTGGATGCCTTTGAATGGAGCCCAGAAAATCTGTCTCCATTTCTACACCTGAGCAGTGGTGTTCACACCCACCTCATGTAGAGATCTGGGGCGGTGATTCATTGGCTAGTTTTGGTGTAGTTCTGTGACATCTAGAGATGAAAAGAATTATCTGTGTATATATAAGTAGTGTTTATCATAAAAGGTTGCATTTCATCGAGTGCTTCTAAGTGAAAAGCTTGGCTGCAGGGTTCCTCAAGTTGTATTTGCTCTCTTTTCCAGTAACGTCCACTTGGTGACTTAGGATAAATCCCAGATGCAGGGATTTATCAAGGTTTTAGCGCTGCAAATATTAAAATCCTTTGTTCCCTGCTTTAACTAGAGTCAGCCATAAAAAGCACATGACCTTCATAAAGTATCTAAAAGGATACAGTGTGCTCACACTGTATGCAGTATACACTGTATACAAGAAAAGAGAGACAGCAGAGCTTCTTTTAGGTAGTTCTTGCCAAGCAGTTTATGAAATGTAACTGAGAAACTTCCTGGGAAAACAAATGTCACACTGTGTATTGTAATTTCACAATGGATCAGACAATTTTCATTTCATCCAAAGTATGTGATGTTTATTGACATTGATGACTCTTGCAGCTGAAAGTTGGAGTATGCAACAAAGAGTTCCAGATACAGTTGCAGTAGATTTTTTTGATTAACGTGTACATCTTGCATTATTTTGATCCAATTTTCAAACTTTTAGGAAGCTAGTGCCTATTTTATGTGCTTATTTGCTTCCACTTGCTTGACTTTAATAGCTAGAGCTCTCCAAAGATTGGGCTGCCCTGGGAGGCTGCATGGTGGGAGGTGTGCAAGCAGAGAATAAGTAAGCATTTTGTAGGAATGTTGTAGGGAAGATCCAAGCACCAGACAAATGGGAGGTTAGGCTAGACTCTCTCTACGTCTCACCTAACCCTGAGATTCTGTAATTTGTTTATAAGCTCCTCTAGCCTGTTTAACTTGCTTTGCATGAATCCACATGTGTGTAGGTGTGTTTAATGAGTATTGGTGGTTGTGAGGCTTCCCAGCACTATCACCATGATGTCAGGCTCAATCAGAGAGACAAAATCACTGACTTGGACAGTCTTTGAAGCATAGGCAGAGAGGAAGGCACCCACTTCTGCTTCTCCAGACTGCTGAACTGAAGGGCCACTGGTGTTCAGATATGCTTCAAGAATGAGTTCTGATTCTGAGAATAATGAAAGTTTAAACAAAAATCCAAGCTTGAAATCAGAAGTTCTCAATTCTTACTCTGGTTTCACACTAAGTAGCCATGTGTATAATGGCAAGCCACTTGATCTCCCTGGGCTCAAGGAGTGTCCTCCATTTATAAAATAGGATAGAGTGGGCAGAACAGAGAGAGAAATCTGTGATTCATTTTTCTATTCAACAAACAGGAGCTCATACGTCCTATTGCTCATAGGGAATCAGTAAGATGAGTTCTAAGGTTCTTTCTAGTGCCAACCTTCTTTGTTAGTAACTACAGTGACTGAAGGGAAAAAGGAAAGTGGCATAGTTTAGGTTTCCTTGATTGGAGTGATGAGTAAGTATTATGGAGGTAATATAGAAACATAAATTTAAGCATGAGACAATTTCTCTAAGAAACAATCAA